CATTTTAGCTTTTAGCTCCTGTGTGCTCATTTTAGCTTTTAGCTCCTGTATGCTCATTTTAGCTTTTAGCTCCTGTATGCTCATTTTAGCTCCTGTATGCTCATTTTAGCTTCTACTACAGTCTTGCTACTGTTGGCTATTTTTTAGTTTTGATGAAATTTGACTTCTTGTCTCTTCGTCCTCGCAGGATTTTTAGTTTCGGGGGAAACGAGCCGAACTCTGGCAGTTTTGATGAGCTCTGATTTTCTGTCGCCTGTTTTTTATAAATAAAGTTAATTGAATCCATTTTGTTTCTGTGTTGCCGACAGGAAACCTGTTCAGCTTCAGGAGGTGGTTCAGACTCATGCAGGCCACTCTGAGCCGGGCTCAGCAGGACCGGGACCGGGACCTCAGCAGGTCAGGTGACCCCGGGTCAAAGGTCATTCTTCCTGTAGGATGAGAGGCGAAGTTGAACGTCGACTCGACCGTTCTTATTTTGGACTTTTTTAACGTTTCAGGAAACAGTGGAGGCCGAAGAATCCCATCGTCGTCAACAGGAAGGAGAAATACTTAATGACGAAGAGGAAACGTAAGAAACATCTGCTGGTTTTTATTTGTCTCTTTAGAAGCAGGACGACGTCCAGGTGTCTGTCAACACGACTCCAGGGCGGAAAGACGGCAGCAGTGTCCTCAGAGGACTAAATCTGTGTCGTCTCCAACGGCACCGTTTGTCTGCAGGAGTCTCCGAGCAGCTGCAGGTCTGCTTTGAGAAGCTGTCCTCCTGTCCAGCAGGCGTTCAGGACGTCCGTCCATCCAGCTTCAGGTTCTGCTGGGGGGACGAGGACGGATCGGATGGTCCCAGTCTGCACCACATGAAGCTGGACGCAGTCTTGACCGGGGAAGGCGGCGTCCTGACCCCCTCAAACGGCTCGTACTGGCACCCAGCGCTCCAACCATGCCGGATCCGGTGAGTCTGCTCAGACTTCAGGTACGAGGGGCGGAGCCTGCCACAGGTGACCTGCTGAAGAGCCCCTCCTGTATGAGAGGCAGAACCTGCCATGGTTGATGGGGGACCCTCCTGTATGAGAGGCAGAACCTGCCATGGTTGATGAGGACCCTCCTGTATGAAGGGTGGAACGTGCCACTGATGAATATTTATAACGATTAAATTGCATAAGAGAAAAGATGAATGTGGTTGAAAGTTGTTAAAAACTAGAGAAAATACTTTTGTGAAAATCCACCGAGAGATGAATGACCACTGAATTTACTGAAAAAGCTGAATCTTAGTAAAGCTAAAAGAAGTCGAAAATTAGCTACGGGCTAACAAGAGTAACTAAAGGTACCCAACTAGAGGCTCAATGTATTAGAACGGTAGCTAAAAGTAGCAAAAGATTAGCTCAAAGCTAAAGTTCCTCTTTAGGTTAGCTACACTCCAGGTGCAGCTTCGTCACCGTCAGGCGTCTGAAAACTGAAGGGGCTGATGGGAAGCGTTGACCCGCGATGACCTAGGCTTAGACTCCGCCCCCTCCGTCTGAAGATGTTGACGAGGAGCGTTTTTTCTTCAGTAAACCCGTCTTCTCCTCTGCAGGCGATGTTCGGCTCGGTGTCGTTACGACTATCTGGAGCCGACGCTGCCGCGCTCCTTCGTGTGGCTGCTGCAGCTCTTCTGCTTCCTGCTGGACGTGGAGGTCTGGACTCTGTTCAAGGAAGTGCTGAGTGTGGAGAGACGGCTGTTCTGCACCTCCTTACCTCAAGACCGAAAACTCCTGAAGGCCAGGAGCCGGACGAGGAGGAGCCAAAGTTCAGCTAAAAGTCTGAACAAGAAGCCGAGGACCTGAGGAAGAACTCTGAGGAGAGAGCAGCTCATTTTTCATCTCGTCAGCAGCTGTGACTGAACGTTTACTTCGTTTGGAGAGAAACGACAATAAGAAAAGCTGCTAAATTTAATTACATAAAACTTCCAGGAGACGAAGAGTCACGAAGGAAGAAGCCGAAGAAAAAAGTTTTTTATTTTGTATGTCGTGATTCGGTTTAAAAAATGTCTGTGACCCAAACGGCCTCCTGAGGTTGATCTGTCAGTAAACAGAACCTGTCTTGACTTCCTGCTTTGTGTTCGGCTGCAGACAAAGGAGCCTTCGGCCACGAGGAGCCGCCAGCAGGGGGCGCCGCCGGCTGCTGCCGCTTGTTGTTGTTTGTCTGCAGCTCCTGTAAACAAACTAACCCACTCCGGTTCCTGAATCACAACACTTCATTTCAACGTGTCTTTGTTTCTTCCCGTGTTAGAACCTGGTTCTGACCGCAGGTCCGTTCAGTCGGCGCCGCCGTCTGCCTCCAGCTGTGGGTTCGTCTCCTCTGTTGCCATGGAGACTGACAGCAAACACACCGATGCTGCGTTCATGGGCGGCAGCGTTTTTGGGACATCTCGGCTCAGACAGTTTGGGACAAAAAGGTCTCGGTCCGGTGGTTCTGCAAGACCCGGAACCAAATGGAAACGGACCTTTAGTGAGTCCGTCTGTAGAACAAGACGAGGTTCTAACTGATGACGGTAAACGATCAGCAGCAGAACCGTATGGTCATGGACCGGTCTCCACAGAACCAGAACCTCAACAGAATAAAATGTTTTCATCTGTTGCTGAAAATAAATCGTTCAATTAAAAACAAACATCTGTTTTGACTTTTTATTTTATTTTTTTTACAAAGTTTGTGAAGCAAGAAGCAGCTCAGGAGTTCTGGTTCTGGTTCTGAAGGAAGGTTTTGGTTTTGTCGCTCAGAGAGGTAAAGAAAACACAATCAGTTTCCTGCTGCTCCTCCTCCTGCTCCTCCTCCTGCTCCTCCTGCAGGTTCTGTTCCTGGAGAGCAGAGGAACCAGAAAACGTTCGGGTCGGGTCGAACCTGCAGCTCTGAGGTTCTGAATTAAACTTTTAACTTCTTCAGTTTAAATGTTATTTTCTGTTTGCAGAAGAAAATATTTTATTCTGAAGAACAAGAACGACTAAATGTTTTTCTTGCTGCTGAAAAACATTTAATGTTTTTTTCTTTGTGTTGTTTTTTTTATTTGCACATTTTTAATTACCGATTAAATTCTGCAGCGTTCGTTTTAAAAACGAGTTTATTGAAGGAAAATGACGTTTTCTAAAAAAACATCTTAATCCAAACAAAAGCAAACGTTTACCGTATTTTCTGCCGTACACGTCGCCCCGCCCTCTTAGTGGCATCGGTCCAAAAATGTCTAATAAAGTGGAAAAAACATCAATACGTCACTTCGCCGTATAAGTTGCATCTTTTACGCGTCACCACTGACAACCTGGAAATGTGGGCCGGTGTTGTGCCAAAAATCGATTGGCTGCTAAATGGTGTCCGCGGGAGGACTAACAAGATTAACACTTGAAAACAATTATTTGTTTGCTTGAAATCATAGTAATTTATAATTAATAATAATTCATTATAGTAAATGTCTCAGTCGAACTTTTCCTTAATGCACTTTAATGGTCACATCAGCTGCATGTCTCCGGGGCGGCGCAGAGAAATGAAGCTGATGTGACGGTTGCTCCAGGCGTGGGAGATTATGGCAAGCCAATTGTGTCATTAATAGCCACTTTTATCTGTTCCATGATACAACGGCATGCCATACTGCTTGACTGCCATCTAGCGGCTGAAAATGATAGTGTTCAATATTTTCTGTCAGAATAAATGAAAACGGTCCTATCAGCCAAAAATTGATTTTTAAATATGAGGGAAATCCATAAATGCCAAATTATGCAAAAAAAATGTGACTTATAGACCGAAAAATACGATAAATCTGAGAAATTCTTCAAATGAATCAGTTTTGGAGACATGGAGGACTCGAGATGGCGCCGATGATGAGGGCTGCGTCTCAGATAGCGCCCGTCAGGCCTGATGGAAAACTGGGCTGGATTCTGTTTCCAGGACTGGTACCGCCGCAGTACTGGACCAACAAGTTTTGCCGTCGTCTCCACCGCAGCCTACTGCTAACGCTAATGCTAGCGCTTCGGACTGCCGCGAGCGAGACGCCGGAGAGGCGGCTGCTTCGCTGGGCACTGGAGGGACTCGGCTCAAGATCAGACCTCCGGGCCTCAAGAACTGAGGGCAGCTCTGACTCAAGACTTTGACTTTACAAAGAGCCGATTATTGGCGGTTCGGACCGAGCTGACGAACACCGCTGCGGAGCTCGACCGGGCGGAGCTCGACCGGGCGGAGCTCCGACCGGGCGGAGCTCGACCGGGCGGAGCTCGACCGGGCGGAGGGCTAGTTTGGAGCTAAAAAGCTGCTCGTCTTCCCACTCGGACGAACTGGAAAAGCTGCGTGCAACTGGTGGAGCTGAGGACTGAAACTGATGGGCTTAAAACAGTCTGACGCTGTAGGGGGGCACACCAGACATAATAGGATTGTTGGGACTTCATGAGTCGGCGTGTGTTCACCCACTGTGACTGCTAACGGAAGAACCACCTGATCGGCTCCGTGTACCAGACGCCGGCCAGGCGCAGCTCCGATGGGAGACCCTGGGTGGTGGTGGCCAGTTAAGGTCCATTACCATCGGGAACATGTGGAGATGCTACAGCGAGCACGCAGCGGTGGTCAGATAAACCTCAAATGGTCGGCCATGTTCATCTCGGCTGACTACACCCTGCAGGTGGCACGATCACGAGTGGCTTCACTGAGGTGAACCAGGTGGGGGTTAAATGTGGCCTCCTTGTCCCAGCGAGACTCCGTGTCACGTGCAGAGGGAAGGACGGGGTTTTTGTCGACCCCAAAAAAAGCGATGGAGGATACTAAAGGAAATATTCCAGCTGCGACCGGCGGGGATGGAGACAAAAAAGAATCCAAATAAACCTCAGGACCGGCCTTTTTTAAAATCAACAACTTTTGTTGAACGTCAAAGTTTTTTGATTTGTCGTTCCACCACATGTCAGAATCAGAGTAAACTTTATCATCACTGCACCGAGGTACAACGAGAACATGCACGTACCGTCGTCCGAACGATGGACGGAGTGCACAAAGCTGCAGCTGTAAAGCGCGGCCTCTTATTCAGGATAACATTTTTAGATAGAAAAAGGGACAAAGCCACGAGGAGAGGGCGTTACCAAAGATCTTCACACCTCGTCCTTGTAGGGCCACATTTAATGCATCAAAACTCTGCCAGCTGAAGTACGTTGATCAGTCGGCCTGTCCCCAGGCCAGCTGGGGTTGAGGTTCAGATAACCACACTTGTTGATTTCCATCAGCCTCGAGCCTGTGCTGGTACTTCCAAGGTCCAGATTAAGGTGCATTCCACTGGTCCGTGCTTACGAGCCTCTTCAAGATGTTTTCATGCTGACGAGTCCCAAAGCTGCAGGTGACCTCCGATTCAAATCACTTCCAACTTACGGCTTCACTTGTAAATCAGCTGATTTTGAGTCCTCCAGCACGAACCAGACCTTCACAGACAGCAGCGTGTCCCGGTCCAGATTAGCTGCGGCCGTCTTCTTTGTATGTTGGTAAGGCAGGATCCATTCCAACACCAGAAAACCTGTTGTCATCAATCCATTTATAGCCAATTGCAGCGTCCTCGATCGATAGCAGAGGTAGACCCCCCCCCACTCCTCAGAGATCTGTCCAGCTGCACAACAAAAGAAAAGTATTTATTAATCATTATGTACATGTGGAATGAAATTGTGTACACTAGAGTCCCAGTTACGTCCAACGAAAGTATAAATTGTAAAGAAACAGTAATAAGATATAAAATATGAACTAAGAAATACGCTAAACAAAGAATACACTAAGCACTTTCCATCCATCATCTTTTACCCGCTTCTTCCATTTTGGGTCACGGGGGTCGCCGGTGCCCATGTCCAGCAATCACTGTGCGAGGGACGGGGGACACCCTGGACAGGTCTCCAGTCCATCTGCACTAAACACTAGTAGTCCAAAAACAATACGCCGAACAGCAGCACGAACATGAGTCTGTGTGAGCAGATGAGCACGAATGAACACAGCAGCATGAAATAAATCAGCAGCATGAGATCAGCAACATGGATAATCAGCAGCAACATTGAAACAGATCAGCAGCAACATGATGTGGTTTTTCACAGTGATTATTCTGGTTAGAGAATCATGAGTCTAACAGCCTCAGGGTAGAAGCTGTTCCTCAGTCTAGTGGTTCTACACTTAATGCTCCTCAACCTCCTTCCTGAGGGGAGTGGGGCAAAAAGTGTGTGTGCTGGGTGAGTGTGGTCCTTCATGATGCAGGTGGCCCTCTTCCTGCATCTGGAGGTGTAGATGTCTGTGATGGTGGGGAGACTGACTCCAACATCTTCTGTGCAGCCTTCACCACTCTCTGCAAAGCTTTTCTTTCTGCAGCTGTGCAGCCTCCATGCCACACGTTGATGCTGGAGCACAGGATGCTCTCCACTGCACACCTGTAGAAGGAGGTGAGGACTGAGCTTCCCAGACCAGCTCGTCTCAGCCGTCTGAGGAAGTAGAGTCTCTGATGAGCTTTCTTGATCAGGCTGGTGGTGTTGTTGCTCCAGCTGAGGTTGTTGTTCATGTGTACACCCAAGTACTTGTAGCTGGAGACCACTTCCACCGCAGATCCTCTTATGTTCAGGGGGTGTAGATGTTTTTGTTCCTCATGAAGTCCACGACCATCTTCTTCACATTGATGTGAAGGTTGTTCTTCCTGCACCAGCTCTCCAGGTGTTCCACCTCCTGCCTGCAGCTGGACTCATCGTTGTTTGTGATGCATCCCACCACCGCTGTATCATCTGCAAACTTTACAATGTGACAGCCTGGATGGGTAGCTGCACAATCATACGTGAGCAGAGTAAACAGGAGAGGGCTC